CGTCAAGTCGATAGCCAATGGTCAGTGGTACTACCGGATAGAAGAAGGCATCCGGCGAAAACAGATCTTTAAACAGACCGTAGAATTCGGCAGCCCGTTTCACAGTCTCGATACGCGTGCCGTAGCGACTGTCGATGTCCACTTCTGACAGATCAACCTTCACTAAACCACAGGCCAGAAAGGTAAACAGAAAACAGCAAACTGCCCCTACATTTTCTAAGTCGAGCAAGTTCCTCCATCTGTGCTGTCCGCCGCATTTCTGTATTTTTTATCCGAGGCTCAAGTGGCAAAGCGTAACCGATGTTAACGCTAGGCGCAGGAGGCAAAAGCTCTAAAATTGCTTTACAAGTTCAAGTGGCAGTTATAACAAGGCCACAAACACGTTACAGCGGAAACCAGAATTCTAAATAATCATTAAACGAAAATAAACCGTCAATTAAGCCAAAATGTTTTAACTTCATTAAATAACTGTTGATTTAAAAGCCACTTCGATCAGCCTTCTAAGATTTTGTTTCAGTTTTGCGAGGCAACGTCGAATGTTACCTAGCGCCTTCATAGATTGAAAAAACCAGCTGAAGCTCAGAAAGAGCCAGTTGAAGTTCAGACGCTGGCACAGGATTAGGAACTTTGGAAATACTGTCAGATGCTAATGCCTGTAGGACCCGTGAGAACGACCGACCGATCGACACCCAACCTAAGAGCAAGTTAATGTATTCACGCTGGCAACCATGATATTAACTCTCCACAAATCAAAATTATATTTCTTATACAAAAATGAATTAACGAATTTCAGAACTATGTACAAGAAAAGGGTTCTACATTTACCGCGACAACTTTTCATGTACCACAAAACAATAGACTTGAGACAATATTGTAGCAATGATGAGCAGCCTTCTTTATGCCTTTGTATCAAAGAAAAATATTTCGATAAAAAAGTATGAAAAAGTGCAGAAGGGGCTGAAAAGCAGGAGGAAAGAAGAAACAGAACGCATAGAAAATAAGAGAATGGTTGGCAAAGTATAGGAATGAAAGAAAGAGATCGACAACGAGAAAAACACTTCATAAATGATGGAATGGGAAAAGTAAAAGAGAAACCGAAAAAGTAGAAAAAATAAGAGAAAAACAAACTCGAAGGATAAGCGACAGGTGGGGACAACAAAAGTTTCGCTTTCAATATGCCACGAGCTTATTACCATAAAACTCTGGGACATTTTTAGATTTTGGGCTGTATTGCACAGCGGCACTTACCATTGAGGCGTTCTTCCAAACTGCGCTGACATTTCGCAGGCTCTATGACGAATAATTTTGGATAAATGATCGGCTTTTCGATCCTGGCTTTGTACCATCGATCGATTTCGTAGAACCTAAGAACAAACTCATTAAAGATACAAATATTCTGCCCGCTTGAAATGCAATAAAAACACATTAATACATTAAAACTTCAATGTGGTGCAAACAGACTAGTTGGATGGCAGTACACCAATGACAGCAGAGAAAATAAGATGCATCTATCGAATAATATAAGAGAAACATCGATTCTGGAAACATACACAGAATAGCACAGCAACAAAATCCAAATTAGCTTCTCAAGTCCAGTAACGAGTTATGACCTAACGATGAGAAAATGAATACGGTTAAGAATAAAAAAGTTGCAGCAGTCGGAATAATATTAGCTTGACGCAAAATATGCACCGTATGGTTACAACTACAGACGAAAGCATCGATCTGATTGGTGATCGAACAATTGCTGCATATGTTTGAGAAAAAACCCGGGACACGCAACGCCAACGTCAGTTCGTTTGACATGTTTGGGGCATTGAGGTTAATTAACTGCTTTGTTAACCTTAACGTTTGTACGACTAGTTAAACTTGCATCAATTCAATGCTCTGATGATGGATGATTTTCCTTGACTGAAAAGTTGGCAATAAAATAAAACAAAGAGCTAAGCTTCGATCACCTATTTTTGTTTATAATGATCGAACCGTTTTACCTAGTCATTGGTAGCATCAGTAATTAAGCATGACTGTGTCAAGACAGACAATGCGTTAATTGACATACTTCGGCGCACAAACGGCTTTGATGTTCATGCGATGGCCCGTAAAGAGACCAGCTCCTGAAACATTGTTCACGATAATCGCTAGGTGGCTCTAGCAGAAAAAATGATGCGAGATGGATCTAACACTGCATGTACACAAATACCATAGAGTAATCGCGTGTTTTAATGCCCTCAACCCCGCCCCCGCCATCCAAGGCAACTAAGAGCAAAGAGCCAGTGCAATATGCCGTCAAATGTAATCTTGGAGGAATCATTCGTTATTT